AACGGAGACGAAAATGATAAAAACAAATACTACAATATATTAATTACTTTTTTAGTATAACTAAATAATATTTGAGTTCATTACTATTTTTGGGCATAATATTATGTAGACGATTATGGTTTTATTACACACCATATGATTTTTATATAACAACTAACTTACATGTATGTATTTTACTGTCACACAGTGTTATATAACACTATGTCAGTAGAGGGGTTGGGGTTGTTTTTATGTCAGTATTTAACCACAAACAGCACTAAATTTGACAAATGTTTGGATTTTCAAAAATTTTATTGATTGAATGCTTGGATCCACAGTTGAATTCCTGTCATTCTGTGTTTGATTTATTTATAAAATTTTCTCATTTCTAATATTTTTTTCGCAAACCTTTTATTTGATTTCAAATTAATTAAAGTGTGGCTAAAATTAGAGTCGGAATCGATTAGAGCGGAAAAACCATTAGGATATTCAGTATATAATTGCCAAATATTCAGATATTTAATGGCCATAACAACAGTGCCTGTATTTTTAGCTGAAAGGCAATAAACGTGTGCTCAACAGAATAAAAACAATAATAACTGCATTTAATAATATAGCAAATTAAATGGTAATGATAAGTAATGGTGAAAATATAGTTTAATAAACAATAGTTAAATAAAATTTAAGTGTTAATAAACATATATTTTAATGTTTAGGACGCGGACACAATTACTATAGCCTATTGTGATGTCATTGCAGTGTAATTATAATATACTAATAATAATACCGATAATGAATGTCTCATAAAATATAAGTCACACTTTCTTATGAAAGGTTTGCAATTATCTCATTGTAAAGCATACGATATTTTTACAATTATTATCATGTTTTATGAGTTCTTGTGTTTCAAGTTGTCCGACAATTTTGCACTTAAATCGTAAGATCTTTAGTCCAAAAACAAAAGCTAAAACTTTTCGCTTTCAAACGCAATGAACAAAAAAGTGTTTGTTTTTTAAATAAATACTAAAAAACAATGAGTTGTTCACTCATTTCATTGGAAAACATGTGTTAATAATTGATCCTGATTCAACTTGTTTTTAATGATATTTGTGTTGTAAGGCTATTAAAAGGGTAAGAAATATCATATTGTGGATGTGTAATAAAATTTAACGACACGTACGGCTCTCTATATAATGGATACGAATTATATTTTTATACAACACATAATAAAAACAATACAATTTTCTAACCTTTAATAATAAAATCAGATATTTATCATATAAGTGACGTGCTTTGGTTTGTTACCGTATTTAGCCAGGGTATATCCAGGGTGATTTTATTTAATTTAAATCCATTACACGTTAACATCTCATTCCGTTGCCAAAATTATCACAAAATTAGCATTTCTATTGTTTCACCTCGTTTAGTCAAACAGTGTCATTATACAAATATTTATTATACGTAAACAATTAAAAGAGTATTTGACATTTATATTTAGTTTACATATGGAATATTAGGGTAAAACAGGGTTTCACAACACTTTTATTAAAAGATTCTGATGGAGAATAACGTATATAATGAGCGAACAAAACAACACCTTTTGGTTTATATGATTTTGAACGATATAATTGAAACATATATTTAAAAAATACTTTATTCTTCTGAGAAATTACAAATTAAAAAACAAATAAAGAGAAATGCAATTGTTTTCATGTATTCTTAGACTCTATTAAATGTTTTTTGCATTTCATTAAAATATTTTCAATACCTCTTTAGAGCTTATATTAATGTAAACTAATTTTATTCCGTGAATTGAAATATAAATTATATTAAAAGATAATTGAAAAAAATTATTAAATAAATATTTATAGTAAAAGTTTATAATGAAATCGCGAAACCAATCAATAGTTTCAGCCAAAAAATTGGAGAAGAAACACGGATTTGGTATTTGTTATAATATATCCATTACTTATCTGTTATGTTTCAGGCATTTTTCTAAATGGCTTTTAAACTTATTAACTTAATATTTATGTATTTAAGTATTTGTAAAACTATTCAATTCTTTGCTTATTTCAAAAATTCTTTGTTTGCTTCACAACTCACATAATTGAACTAAAAATTACAATTAAATATTTGATAGGTTCATGTATTCCGACAAGATGGACCGTGGTCATTCTCTGTGCCCTTACTAATGGACTCTCATATACAATGCGAACCAATCTTAACCTAACTATCGTTGCGATGGTTAAGAGAGCTAATACAACCCATTTTGAGACATGTTTAGCACCGGGACAGACACTCGAACAGTCCCAAGATGTAAGTTATTTAATTATATTTATATTGTTTAAATTTAATATTAATAAATGTTGTGAATTAGGAGGTTGAGGGTGATTTTGAATGGACCGAATCGATGCAGGGCGTGATTCTTGGCGCCTATTATTACGGATATATAGTAACGAATTGCTTTGGGGGACAAATGGCTGATTGGGTGGGCGCCCGATGGCTGGTGGGCGCCTCTGTATTGAGTTCAGGTGCATTGACATTACTTATGCCCGTCTGTGCCAAATGGTCTGAATATACCGTTATAATAGTCCGAATACTTACCGGTTTAGTTCAGGTTTGTTTTATAATTAAATACCACTAATTAAATAAAATAACGTTTATATATGATTTACAGGGAGTGCTAACGCCATCGCTGTACACAATGCTGGCCTATTGGGTGCCATTACAAGAAAGGGGGTTCGCGTTAGCACTGGTACAGGTGGGCGGCAATATCGGCGCTGTAGTGACGGCGCCATTGTCTTCGTCACTATCACAACACGGTTTCGCCGGCGGCTGGCCCTCAGTGTTCTACGTGTTGGGCATTATGGGCTGTTTGGCGTTCTTGCCCTGGATTTACCAGATCT